AGGAGTGACCTAGCAAAGATTCGTAAACGTACCTATAAAAGTGTTCAAAGTCGCCAGACCGAACATGGTCGCAAGCGACTATTTATCAGGAGACTACAAGCCAATACATACGACTGTTCAGACGATAGTCATGCCACTTTCATGTGGGAAGTGTTGAGTCACAGGAATTCGAGGAGACTTGCTTCCTGAATTTCCGGTCGAACCATAGCAGTTGCTCCTGGAGATCAGTGTCATCTTTTGTAAACTACCCAGTGGTTCTATTTGGAACAGCTTCGTTTGACGACAATTCGGATGTTAAGAGCGAATAGCGACGCATTGAAAGCAGTAGCTGATACTGTTGGCGAGCGATTTGAGTGCGAATTAAAATGGTAGGGAAATCAGGAATGAAACCCTTGCATTAATGGTCATCGAGCACGTCACCGGAACACATTTAAACTGGTCTGTAACCGTTGATGAGTCCCCTATTGGGATACCCATTTATGGAGCTGGCTTTCGAACTTTGCTGCGGAGTCAAGACTTGGCTTGTTCTAAAACGATTCCGACCTCCGAAGAGGGCTGTGTATAGGAAATCGGCTCAGTGGGTTGACATTGGTTTACTCATCGTATGTAAGTTATTTTCCCAGAGAATTGCATGGTGCTATTCAGCACTACTGGTCCATCGGACATCGGTGATCAAATAAGGTCTTCGGTTCGCATTAACAGATACGACCAACACAACAATATGGAAAAATTGTAGGTTAAACTCAATCTCTAACGGACAATCGGATGTCACCTTCACGTCGTAGATGAAGCAAGTTGAAAAAACCCTATATGGCCTTCCCTTTTCTCATGGTAATGTCGTCTGAAACTGGACAAACGTGAATGACACAACTACCCTGGTAAATTAATTTATCTAGGACTTCCATCAACCCAGGAGCAACCAAGAGGTCCGAGTTCACTCATACACAGACCTGCAGCCGCAGCTTATAGGTAGCAACTAGAAAGCAGGTAGCACTGTCAACATTTCGGCCACTGAATACAGTGAACTCGTGCAAGTGCTTACCATGGACCCAAATGCTTTCAAAGGGGTTAGTGCACAATACTCTAGGGAGGGCCAAGAATTTATGGGAAATACTTGTACATGTACACTATACACAGCACTCTGGTGCACGACATCAGAGTCAAATGCAGTCTTCCAGCCAGAAAACTCAACTGCTGTTTGTTGCCTGTGGCAGTTCCCTTGTTCCAGATCTGTGGACTCCATTTCAGGATGAAATTCAGCCAAATTAGTGAGTTCAGTCTACTTACGAATGATGGAACAAGGACCCTGGATTCTGCAGTTAACAGGCTAATAACACGGCAGTTTTCATACAACACTCGACAACTCTGATGCTTAGGATGAAGAATACGGTACCTAATTTTGTGAGCACTTTTCATGTGACATATTTAGCACTAATAAGTTTTGTCAGGAAGGTTATCAGAGTCTTTCCGCCTTCTTTAGAGTGTCTGCACGCAACTGGTGCCTTTTCATGCTTTTAAAATGAACATTTTTCGCTTTGTCTCCTAGGTAACTATGGTTCACACTTCATGCAACTGGGTGTACTATATCTAAATGTTGTGTCGTATAAGAACAGCTAACTTATTCATCAGGGTCTTCGGCCTATATTTCTGGTCGACACATTTGTGACCATCTATTTTACCAATCATATACCAACAGATTCCTTCCGCTGACCGACCAAATGAGTGAAGGTAAATACAGCACAATGGTGATATGTGCTGAAATTGTTTTCTCTTCCGCTATTCGTCAAACGTCTAGGTCTTTCCTTGGACTCTTCGCTCTCTGGTATTTGGAGACCTGAGTGAGCAGTCGTACTCGTTGCCTGATGCTATGGACTTTCCAATACCAGTTAACCTGAATGACTTCAGAGATCCAGCGACAAGTCTGAAGGTTCTGAGAATGTTTTATGTTTGGCCGGTATTGTGTTGGTTCACTACTTCTGCGCTATGACGGTTCTCCGATTATAATCCACAGACACCTCTCTTATCCACCGAATTTTTAGACATGCTGGCACTATACCATGATAAGAATTAAGTGTGCCCAAGAAGGAACGTCAGTCCTGAACCGTTTCTCTCCACCGAGAACTGACAGTCCCGTTTGATTAATACTTGGGTGTCGCGAAGTTACATGGTCCAAATAGTTGTGTTGAAAACGAATGCTGGCAAGATACAGTTGTTTGACGGTTAGCGGATAAATGGAGGAGCTACTCGCTGTCGTTTGTGACGCAAGCCTCGACTTCGAATGCGATTTCACCGGGCTCATCCGTCCAAAGCAGGCATGTATAACACATAGGCACTTCTGTCTACTGAATCGGTCCTGACTAGTCTCACTAAAAAAACACCTTTCTCAGCATCAGAACTGCAGTCCGTTGGAACATAAGATGACACCATAAACAGACACCGGTTTTCATATCAGGTGTCGTTGTCCTCGGTTGATCCGAATAATCAAACAGTGCAAAGATGACTATCCACCTGGACCTAATCCCACAAAACACTTTCATTCCTGGGACTGCGTTCTATGTGCCATGAGTTACCACACACTGACACGAAGTGTAAAACATGAGAAATCATGACCCCTTCTGGATGCTTTAAAATACATGACCTGACCTTATCTGTGTAATGCTTTGGCCTATCAAATTGGAGATCAGGGGATTGTATTTTCGTCAGTTTCGTTAGGAACGGCATATTACGAGCGAACCTAGTCTCTACTACATCTATTCTGGCTCAGACACACATAGGACAGATAAATCAAGCTGGAAATCAACAGTGTCAAAATGTTCGTCAGAACTCGCACGGCGTTTGAGTCGCGCGGATTCAGTGTCTGGTTGCAAACGTTTCGTTACCAATCATGGAGGCGTCATCAGTCCATGCAGTGACGACGCCGTACTGAAGTATGATATATGCATGTGCGGTAATCAGTCAGCCATAAAGCCCAACTGACAGGACTGACCTAAGGCAAAGTGGACCGGTGGCACGTAACGATAGTGTCCACCTGACAACCGCTTCCATAATGTTAATGAAATACAAGACGTAAGCAATCTGAACTCGCCTACAAGTTCACGAAATATCATACAAACAAATAAGTGAGGAGAGTAGTTGGAATGCACTGAATGTTCCATGCCCGCTTCAATGGTCCTAAATCGTTGCGGGCATTTCAGCGAAACATTCACTGAGGAATCGTAAATTCCACAAACGCGTCTTCCATAACTGGGAACTTTTACCTTACCGAGCTGACCCATAATGACACCTCTTGACAACACACTAGGTTTCCGATTCACTGCCTCTTCTTTTTATTCGAAATCGCAGCCGCAGTCCACATAACAACGAAGGGCGTGAAGCCACATCAATCCAAAACTACTGAACAGAGTGAACGATGACAATCTCACTGGAGCAAACAAAGTCCTCCAAAACAGAAGGTGCGCCATTTCGAGCTGAATGAAAATTGCCCGAATGCGTGAGACAAACGCCTCACTGATGGACGTAAATAACTTCATCCAACCGTTTACGAACTTGAGGGATTACGCCACAGTGACAGAAGACTATGGCCAAGGCACACAGCTTGATGCTTCTCAGTGGGAACACAGAAAAATGCTGCCAATTCCCACACTATCGAGAAACTACAAACAGCTCAGAAGGAATAGTTCACAAGAGTGGACCACTCATATTCAAAATTGTTACTCAAGGATTCAGAAAAAAGGCCAACATGTGATGTGAACTGCGTAATTAGAGGGTGAGTGGCACTATATCCAGTCTAAGTGCGAGGTGATCACACTGCTGGTCAGCCACTAGTAGCCAGCAGATCTAGTCTTCAACAACTAGCCGGAAGGTCACGCATTTGAATCCTCTGGAAGTTCGTGGGATACTCAGTGTTGATTATTCCCAGCAGGGACAAAATAGCTGCTCAATGCCAGACTTTTCCAGAGTCATTCCATTTCCAAACCGAAAATCCGATTGAACAACTCCCATATTTCCTCATACTTTCAACAGTCCTCTGTACAACACAAAAATCTCTTCGGCATTCACTGAACCACATTTTATTCGATCCTATTTGCCCGGAAGGAATTAGTGTCATAATGGTTCCTGGAGCGGCCATAATGAATATCCCAATTGTGCCGAAAGGTGGGCCTCGATTGAGGATCACGAAGAGACTTTGTCTTCTTCCTGCATATCACTGCCATCAAACCGGCCATAAGTCCATATGATTAAACAAAACTATCCGGTTACCAATGAGTACTCCGTCGATGTCACACGTCTCAAGCAGAACTGTTCGCACGACTAACCGTACACGAAGTGAAAAATGGCCAATGGTAAATGTGGTGGTCTGCTGAGAATAGCTGATAAGTTCGACGGTAGCGTTGCTCCCGTGACTACCGCAAAATGAAACTCGAACGGTTTGTCTAAACGGCCATTTACATGGTTGGCAATGAAGCCGGAAATTACGGATAGAACGGTGACACCACCCACAGAGATACTGTTCGATTGTTTACAGCTTACCGCACCTCACAGACATTGTTTCCAAAAAGTTACCGTCCGATCGAAGACAAATCTACGGAGAGTTCCTCTGATAGCACTGCCAGTTCGTGCCAAATAGGGGACTACGATGAACCTTGAAAAGGCGTGACAGATTGTTGTTGCACAGACCACAATGCAATTAGTCTCGTCCCAAATTTGTCTGCAAATGGTTAAAGTTATCGGGAGCATGAAGCGCTCACTCGATTGCAATCACGTGTGGTGGACCACTCAGAAAAACGAAGGTCACACCGAGCAGAGTCGAGAAGGAACGAACAAAAATGATCGCCTGTCTGTTAAGTTCATTGAACGACAGCGAATGAATAACAGAAACTGACTCTGCAGCGTGCACTCTTAGGTGGCCAGTCATTGTGTACGACCTCTAGATTTGCCACACCAGTTTGAGCATCGGTAACCTACACCTCTGCTTCGATTGTCATTTGACTAAGGAATCCTAGGCGTGTTTGCAAATACAAGGCAAACACATATACCGGCTTTATTTATACCAATTTAAGGGCAGAATCAAGCGTCTGAATACAATACAAAAGACGCAGGATAAGCTTAAGTCGGATATGAGGTAGTGTTTACACTTCCTCAAAAACACTTGTTTTTAGAAAGTATCACTGAAGATAATGAGAATGAACGGAGTTCGGGGACATCAAGGAAAAAGAAGAATGAGATAATAAACATCGTGGCTGAAGAGCATGTATAAAACAAAAAAACAAAAGACGTTGCTTTAAAAGCACAGCTAGGAAACCCGTCAAAAAGAACACAAACTTGGTTTCATGATCCGTCGGCAAAGGGAAAAGTACTATGAATGAACCGGCATAGTATTGTGTGAAGTAGTGATTAGCTAGATCAATGAAAAAAATAAATGCCAATATCTGAGTTTCGTGGAAGTATTGGCGACGGCGTGAACTTCATAGAAAAAAAAACAGAAAAAGCGACAACAGTCGGGAACTCGGGGAGGGGAATCGAAATGCAAAAGCAACTAGAACACCTGGCAGATCCCGATCTGGCAAGTAGTATTCTTAATGAGAAATGTAATGCTAACCGCATGACAGACTGTCCAGAAAAAGGACTGAAAGTGTGTAACTGTGTAACGCAGACACATCAGGAATGCAGTCTGTGGATCTGGACCGTAAGTCAGATGCGAACCAACCGCACTACAGGGAACGAAGTTACATTTACACCCTTGGCATCCATTGAAAGAAATAACAACAACAAAACATCTGAGATGAGATGGGTGTGAATTAAAAATAGACCGCGTGATCATGTGTTTTTGGAGAACGAAGGGCAAAGCTCTGTTTGAAATCGGTCAACTCCTTTGTTAATTTGAGCCGAGCGTAGAAACCCGAAAGCGAGCCGATGAAAAGTGTCTGAAATAAGTGAACGAAAGGTTAAGAGGGCGAAACCAATTTGGGGCATAATGGACTACTTCAAAGAAAAGTTCCTCGAATGGGCATCAATGACTCATCAAAGTTGTAAGGTAGTAAAACAAATCGGACAATCCGGCCTTCAACATAACAGCGAATAACTATTGACAATCAAATCTTAAGTGCCAGGTGAGTGAGACAGTAATTCAATAAACCACAGCAGTAAGTTGGCAACATCCTCTCGGATAAGATTCATGTTACGAAGCCGAGTATGCCGTTTGTTTCTGGGAACAGACAAGCGAGAAATCGCTGGCCTGAGATTTATATAGGTTCCAAGTTAGAATACAGCTAGACTCTTAAGATGGTCACAGAACGCCGTTGGACTTCATCGGAGCTCACCAGGGATCAGCTGGGTGATCCTTCGGCTACAACTACTAAACAGGATCGACCGTTCACGAGTGGTAAGGACCCAGCTCAGATAATAGGAATTAAATCCATCGGCTATGCCAGTATGACGGGCGGTATAACGGCGCCAGTATAACCGGTGTCTACAGGTCCCTCGGGTCAGCACTTGTAGCTTCGCCACAGGTCACGTGATTGATCTCTACATGCTCACCTGCTAAGTGATAATAATAGTGAAAAGCTGAGCGGTGCAGTTGTTTGACGAAATGGCTGTAAGCTTTTCAGATGACAATTTCAACTGACTACGGTAAAAAGGTTTGATTTGAATATTTCTAGGAAAATACTTCACCTGCCACCTTGAGAACAGTTCTATCAAGCGTGCAGCAGCTCCCTAAAAAAGTGACGGTAGCAAGACATCCGAGGTGATCAAGCGGCTAGTGGAGTAGTACAGTTCGTAAGAGAACCCTCCAGGTAGCAGGTATGCATTACAGACGAACTAAAATGTCAGTTGGTAATCGTCGTCGTCATCATAGGGCATTCAACCCAAAGCGACCGCATTAAACCATTGATACCAGCAACTTACTAGACCCATTAGGACGAAAATAGCTCCTCCGAGAGAGCAGGCGAACAAAGGGCCAATGAGGGCGACCTGGGAAAGGTGAAGAGATACCAGATTCAGTCGAAGGAAACGTTGTGTTGGAGAACCGTCGGACTGAGGGAACAAAAATCACTTTAGGAATCCTAGAAAGCTCTGGGTAGGGATTCGTCATAGCATACGTCAGTTGCCAGGAGTTACCACCAAAATTAATTCGGACTATAATCGTACATGCACACCCTGTGTGGTCCTTTAATAACACATGATAGAAGCTATTATACAATTTCTCGTTTTCTACCCGAAATTCGATCAGTCATCTGATGGAACTGGAATTACTCTGTTATTTTCCATATCGTTGTTGAGCAGTTCATCAGATCAGACACAACTGAGAAGCACACATTAGTCAAGAAAAATGCAACCAGAAAAGAACAAACGGGACGAAATATGGCTTCAAGAAATAAAATTGACTACTGGTTGATTAGCCTTGGTCCCAAGCCTTTGACCGCCTATTGAGATGACATTGCAAGTGCGTCGCGTCACTGGAAATGCACCAAGTAGTGTGTTTGTACACCTACTGGTAGCCGGCACACTGCAACCGACATATTTGTGCCGATTCTTTGACTGAAACAGTTGAAACCTCTTAACACTTCGGATCCACCGTTCTACCCATAGGTAAGGTCAAGGGTAAGTTAAAGACAAGATGTACGGTGCCAGACAAGTCAAGTCTTCCTTCAACTGGATGCTTTCCGGTGTAGAATGGAAATCAGCCTTCGAATGGACATTCGGGTCTTCCAATCTACTGTTTACCGTGACCCAATTTAAAGATTCGAGACCAAGCTATTTAAGGTTGAACTAGGCCTGCCGTTCTATCCCCTGTAAGAAGTAGCGCTGTCACCTTGGTAATGGCTACAAACGCGGTTTGTTACAGTCAGGTCCGAGGTCCATCGTTCGAGAGCTATGGGCTGACCTTGCTGCCAATCACGGCGCAAAGAACGCCGTATCTCGAGGAAGATATTGAGCCACCCTATCCGATAACAATATTTAACCGCCACAAAGATGAATATAATGGTTGAGTAGCCGGGACTTTGCCAAATTGGCGCGTAGGTTGGGTCTAATTCAGTAAACCACTCATGGTCGCAGAACAGAAAACAATGACTACTGTAAGTACGAAATATGCGCATTTGAACAAACACAGGCTATGCACACGTTTATAGTAATGTTTGGTGTGGCGCTCTTCGTTCGGACGTACAAACTGTGCCGTAATTTGTTGTGCATCTTGGGAAGAAAGTGACTGGATTAATTTCAGAGGGGTTTGGTAAACAATCGGTGGATTTATTGCTGGGCAACGTTTCGCTTTTGACACAAAAGCTTCGTCAGGACAATTAAGTAAGTAAGTAGGTTGATTGGGTTTTAAGGCAGTCGGGGAACCAACCCGTGAGATTCCTTATGACTAGTGACCTGATCAGTGCTGGGTGTTCAGTCTGATGTTCCTGTTTGTTGATTGGTGGGGATAACTAAGATTTACGATAGATTGGTTAGGGTGGAGGGGGTTCGTCTTTATGATGAACCCGGATTTTTTCGTCCCTGCTTCTTCAGTCTAGGACACCTTAATGGAAAATTCCTCTTGGGGTCGTTCACAGATTTCGTCCACCCATGTTCGTCCAAGGGTGCTGGGACAATGGATTGGGGATGGGGGTGGGGTGGTTAATTGGATCTAACACCACTTGGATTTTTGTACTTTTAGACCCAGGCGATTTCGCTGATAACTGCGCACCGCCTCGTGTCATCTCGCCTGATCTAAGACCGCTCTCCACACGTTTGCAAGTCTATCCCCTCTATTCTGTTCACACTAGGATGCTTGGCGATTCCCACCGCCTCGGGCACCAGTCGCTGTGGTGTGAATCTTAAACCCCGTCACAGGATGTCCACATTTTCTAAATCTATCCTATGCCCAGTGTCTAGAGCATGCCCTGCCATTGCTGAATCTTTGACTAACGCCTGGTATTCCTCTGCGTTTCTCGGTGGTTTGTTAATGGAACGCTTATGCTCACCGATTCTGGTGTGCAATTCCCTGGCTGTCTGACCTATATAAACCTTCGTACAGTCGTTACATTTTATTTTGTACACACAGTTCCTAGTTTTATCAACCAGAAGGCGATCCTTCAAATGCACCAACATCGAGCGTAAAGTTTTCCCCTTCTGGAAAGCTACTCTAATGTTAGCCGTATTCAGTACCCTTCTACTGACTTCAGATGTCCCTGTTTTGTATGGAATGACCGCTGTTCCGATTCACTCCTTGTTGAGCCTTGGTGTTGGCACCAATACCCGTCTTAGTTGCCGCTTAATTGAACCCACTGGGTATCCGCTATCTTGAAGTCGCTTTTTTACCTCAAGTTGTGCTGCCCTTCGGTCGACCTCCTCTGTACAGTGCTCTCACTCTTCTAAACATCGCTGAGGCTATGCTAGCATATAGTGCTTTTGGATGTGCAAGGGAGTAGTTCAAGACCGCATCGCTATCTGTTGATTTCCGGTATACAGTGGTTTTTAATTTCCCACCACTTTTGTGTGTCATGCAGTCAAGGAATGCTAGTGTACCCGATGTGAACTCGAGTTCCATTCTAAACTTAATGTGAGGGCCCAATGTGTTCAGATGTTGAAAGAATTCGTTCACCTCATCCCGCTTTATCACAACGAACGTGTCATCTACGTAACGCCAGAACACCCTTGGTGGACACACGAATCCATTTGAAGCTTTCTGTTCGAAGTCTTCCATGTACATGTTGGCCAAAATCGGGGGTATTGGTGATCCCATCGCTAGACCTTGTTCTTGAGAGTATATAATTGAGTCAAAAACAAAATGACTGAGGTTTGGGCATGCCTTTATGCCTTCGGCTATCTTGTCTACGGAGACTTGTGTTCGTTCTTGCAGCGTTGTGTCTGCCAGTAAAAGTCTTCTCGCTACTTCCACAGCGTCCGCTTTTGGGACGTTGGTATACATTGAGTTGACGTCAAAGCTGACCAGGACTTCATCTGGCTCTATCTGAAACCCAGCTACTTTTTTAGCAGTCATACGAATCTTGGATGTGTGTGGGTGACTTGCCGGCAAGTGGTTCAAGGATACCTGCTAGATATCTGGCTAGCTCATGTGGTGGTGAACCTATGCCATCCACTATTGGTCTTATGGGGACACCTTCCTTGTGAATTTTCGGTAACCAGTAAAGTTGTGAAACGATGACTTCCCAATCGGTCCCAAACATCTTCCAATTGATTGACTGGATTAATATTTGCACCGATATTCTTTCTATTGGTTGGACATGAGAAAAATAGTCCTAAAAGACTGAGCAGGAAATAAAATGATACTCAGCGTAGTGAAGGAATGGAAACCAAGGTCACACATCATCCATCTGAATAAAGAAACAGCCAACACAAAACAGACCGTTAAAAAGCCGGAAAATCAACAGGAAATAGTCCGCAATGATGGAACCTTGGTTATCAGTAAGGTGAGTGATGTCTGACCAAAGGACCAAATTCTGATGTGCCGATCATCAGGTTGCTCCGCGAAATCTTTGCGTAGATGGTCAACCGTCAAGCTAGCAATTGTCTAAGAGGTAGTAATCTGACGACAAACAATCAGGCAGTAGTGTGCTTCCCAAGATGTTTACACGTTCAGGGTATGCTAGACCACATGGAACCAAGGCTGGAATAGTTGACCTAATATATCTCACAGCATTTGTTTACGAACATTCTGCTGAATTCGATGACTGCTAATGTTCGGGCTTGATTTTTCACGTATCGTGCACTTACTGCGCAGCAGTATAAGTTGCTGATAACCGCTAAATTGATTGGAGCTGAAAAACCATGGTGAAAGGATGAATGAGCAAGTAACAATGTTGACATATTTGCATTACCTTCGCCTGAGTGGTCATTATGGCAGTTAAGCGGCACTGTCCATTATTGGTGTATTGCAGCCCGTGACTTCAATCAGTGACCGTTAAATTAACACATTTAAGTTAGTGAATGGGCAACAACACCAGAATCCCGCTTTAAAAGCAAACCAAATTTGTAGGTAGGGTTATCGTCCCCTAGGAGAGACCCCTGCCAACAAAAACCACCCCATTCTGATACCGCAAAATTTGCCACAAAACCGATGGAAATCGTAATGTCACCTCCAACTGCCTGTAGGAACCATTCTGTCTCTGTAGGAATAATTTCTTTTAAAAATCAGGATGTGAAATTCATTCGTTTAACTTCTTTTCCTTCTAACACTATTTAGACATCTGACCAATCATATGCAAACAAAATCGGCCCCAAAATACTTTGAGGGGGGAACTAAGTAACATCATTTTTTTGAGGAGACCGATCTATGCCACTTTTCGAAAAACCGCATCTTGAAACATACCAAACCTCACCATTCACGTGGAGCAGTCTCTATAAGTGAAAAATTAGTGTAGAAGTGACAGGGTCTCATGGGCATGACCAATTCGGAGTCAGACCATTGTATTTTGAGAACAGTACGCAAACTACTGACCCTTATGTAATCATATGCAGTAATTTAGCCAGAACGCACAGCACATAACATTACTGAGGACGTAATAGCGCCAACTTCATGTGAAAATAGTGTTGAAGTTCAGAGCTCTTCCGGAATTCACATATAAAACACTAGTTAATGACTTATTGAAATGAAGGCGACAGAAGAGGGGCGACTAACGCGAAAGCAGCATTCTATACATATCAGGCAAGACTGCGGTTCATATTCTGCTCAATCCACTAGTCGCTGGTATTCTGGAAGAAAATGTCCCTACACAGCAGCGCAGCTTCTAAAGTAAGGATGACGCAAGTTTTCCCCCAGACAAATTCAAGAGAAAGGCCGTGAACGAAACCAACCGTTCCATGGACTAGTTGTTGACTTCACCAAAGCACCATGGATCGTAATACGAAGATGTGACTGCCATTCATCAACCCCATCAAAGATTTTCACACCGTGATGAAGGCGTTCGAAACCGATGCTAGAGCGAATCAGGGTTGTTCTGATCCAGCCTTATTCATCCTTGTTCAACAATCATCTTTGGAGAGGCGTTCTGTCACTGTAAAACTGGCACACCGATTCAATACTGTTTGGATGGTTATTCGTTCAAATCGAAGCGTTTCTTGGACAAAACACTGCTGGTTGAGTCAAATTCTTGCGGACAACTATGCCTTATTTTTGTATTCTGAAGAGGAATTATAGCGGCTGATTACGACGTTCGGTTCGACGGTGACTCGCTTCGGACTAAATATGAACAGTTCCAAAAGGCTTCTGTAATCAGGCCGTACTGAGGGCCCAACACAACACCACGTATTCCGCTAAACTGTATTGAGATGGCGCGTGGCGCGGATGTCTGCTATCCTGTCAGCACACTATCCACATGCTTGATGCTTCATAGTGAAACAAACGCACCGATTGTAAAAGACAACACGGCATTTGGCCGCCTTAATAAGAGCGTCTGGAGGAATCGTCACTTGCGCACAAACACCAAGATTGCTGCGTATCTTACCTATAGTGTGGCAGCTGGATCTGTACACTACCCACATGGCATGTCCTTGACCGGTTTCACCTGGACTGTGAAAAATCCTTCAGAGGAAATGGAAGAACCGAATCGCAAATACTGTTGGAGTTGAATGCAACCTGGTGCGAAAACAGTTCTGCTGATGAGACAGCATGAAAAGAAAGACCGGAAATAGCGTCTCAAACATCTTTTCGATACAGAGACACCATTAGGGTACGTTTGGAAAACCGTAACGTCCACTCTATATCATAGGAGAACTCGAAAAGCGATAAGATAGGTGCAGAGCGGTTACCCAAGGGAACGTGAGCTCTATGACATCATCCATCGCAATCCTGCGAGACGAGAGGCATTCGGAAGGGGCTAAATATCTGCAGTACAGCCTCGGCAATTTAGGGATGAGGAACATTTAGACGCGCGTGCCTAATTGGGATTGGCCTTCTGAGTCATCAGCGTACTCACCAGTTCACCCGAACAATGTAACCACCCAGAAACAAGATGAGTTGGTTCTGTTCACCGAGTTTCTGCTCGTCCGACCCTACCATCTCAAGAATGACATCAGTAACCACAAGACTAATGTAATGTTGCCAGGTTATCCACAACTACCTCGTTGTGTTGGTGAATACCACTTGCATGATGTGATGCGTGGGAGGTTCGGTGCTACGTTGAAACTTAGAGATATTGACGGATTACGGTAGTGCTCCGATAACAAACCGATACCAGTCGTTGTATCACGTCTAGATCAGCCAATAGTTTGCAATAATCCTCTGAACATTCGTCTACCGATCTTATTTTCTCGGGTCCAATTTGGCATCGAGGGCTTCTGTGCAACACCACACCGGACTCAAGCTAAACAGTTTGTGAACCTCGTACTATTCGAAGGCGTCTAGTGATTTGGCCACTGCTGACTGACAAATCCAATTCGGATGGGAGACATTCCCGCAATTCACTGTAATTCATCACCCTAACATGAGCTCAAGGTTACCCAGCTGTGCTCACACTAGAATAACGCTCTGATCACATCAGGACTATTGCATAATGCATTAAAATGGATCCGCTACTTATGATATCGTAGTTTCACAATAGCTTTTGTGAACTGTATTCTCCTCGTAAATCGTGGAGATTCCATTAATAGTATTTTGTCAGCTTCCTGCATGTTTCGTCCTCCAATAGTACAGTAAACGTATGAAGACAGGTAGAATATACCAACCTATGTAACACCTTTTCTTCACGATCTCCAACCAGCTAACCACAAAGCTACTGACAGGGGGAAGAACTGTAATAGGCGGCGATGACGCAACAAAGTTTATCGCTGTCCGCGGAGAACATGCATACGAAGTGAGGAACCCATGCACTCGCTGTTAACAGCTGCCCGGTTGTTCCGGTGTTTCCAAAAACTAGATGTTCACTACGTCCCCCCTCCGCAGTTACAAGACCACAAAATATGTCAATGGCAATCGAGACTGATATAAATTTAGTGATGTGACTTTCGTCCACATCCGTTCAACCTTTCGTTGTCGGCACAGCCTGAAGAATTCCGATTTACCTATTGTTCAACAATCAGCAGTGAAGAATGCACGACGAGTGGGGGATCCTGTTAGATAGATGGAAATCAAAGAACATTCGGTAATCAGTGAACAGTCGTAGTTAGCATTCCCGATCAGATCGACTTACTTCATCGCAGAATGCCGCAAAACCCTCCAAGCTTGTGATTGCCTCACGATAATTAAGAGAGGAATCGTATTGCCAAGGTTTCACATAGATACCTTGTAGATGAAAATAGCAAGGAAAGGTTAGAGATATGTTTTTGTGGTAAGCTGTTGTGTTGGTAAGTTGCGGTGGTATAGGATGGTCAAATAAAGTATGCAATCTACGACTGCTTTTGAAGTTCGAAAAAGGCAATGTAACCATGACCTGAAAAGACAGACAGCACAGTTACGGTTGTGTCAACAACCAATGCTTGGAATGACTAACAGTTCTACTATAGCTACCAGAACTACTCCACGACGAAAAAAAAATGGAGTGAAAAATAGGTTCTATTTTTATGCAATACGTCACGGGGAGCAATAGGCACTCGTGAATAGATCGCTTGAATTAATGGTATTCGGGAGAAATAACTCACCCTCGATAGATGAACTGATCACACTGCACAGGTTGCGCTGGCTTGGCCACGTGCTGCGTATGCCAGTCGACCGAATTCCTCGAAGGGCTCTTTTCGCACAACCACGTGAAGGGTGGAAGAGAGCCAGAGGCGGTCAGACAATGACTTGGCAGAGAAGTGTGAGGGCCATTACCAGCAAACTTAGCTGCGCTGGTAATTACCGTCTTCCTGGATGGGGACCCCGAGACGGGCCACATCAATGGCTGGAGACATTATCAGACATGGCCCAGTCGCGCCCTCAATGGCGCTCGTGTATCAAAGCTATTGCCTTCAATGCATAGCTCCTTTTCCACCCCCCCACTTGACAGCCCACTGACAGTGCTGGATTTATGCACCAACTTACCAGCTCGCGCCTGTAATGCGCAGCTACCTACCCCCTCCCCCAAATCATCGGTGAACGAAACTGCGGCAGCTGCAACCACTGTACGACGAGTACGCGGTTATTACAGCTGACAATGATGATGATGATGAGTAAGTGATGATATAAATCAAATCAGTCAAAATGGGTTTAAAGACAGCTGCTCTCCGTCTACAACACAGACTGTCGCTAATTCCGGTAATGGACCAGAGGAATGGAAACGAGAAAATCATGACTGATCCTTAGCTTTTGCCCCAGCTTGACTAAACAATAACTATCATTAAGTTCCTCCTCTTAATTTCGTTCTCCTCCATCCCATCATATCTTACGTTCATTTCTATTCCAGAAAATCGAGCCAAAAACTAAAGGTCACATGAACTTCCAGGTCGTGAACCGGCGACGACTTGAAACCCGAAGGGTATGTCTTCTTACCATAGCTGAAAAACCTTTATCATTTCCTAGATTGCTCACCCCGTTGTGCGCAGTCGATCGTTAGTTAAGTTGTAAAGTCACAGGAAGACCCACTCTTGTCCCATTAATTTATATCCGACCTCTAGGTTTCTGCAGCCTTAGTGAACACGAAATCGAAAGCATGGAAACGGATTGGAGGGTAGTTAGACGTATCCCATGCATGTCCGAACAGTCCCTAAGATGTTGAGTGACTCGTGAATGGGCTAGTTCCAGCCACTCCACTGATTTAACTGCTCTACCATTTTCCAATAAATCGTGTAATCATAACCACTTCCATATCACCAGAGGAGACTGATCAATTTGGAAAAGGGAAACAAAAAATAGCAACCACCAGTTTGAGTGTGCATCGATTCTGATTGCTACGATTGTGGGGAAACAATCATATGTACAGAATAAAGTTGATAAAGCAGACAATAAGTGATGTGCGCTGGTTCATTCCGTTTGCTGATCCAATGGGGCTAAGACGCACATGGTTGACATCACACGCCAAACCACCAAATGGCTTCCAGGTAAACCAATTGACATTAGTCGTAATCTCTTTGATAAGTAGAAAAAGGATTATAAACTATTTCACGTCCTGGAAGACTCCCTATCGTTTTAAATGGAAATATTGAAGGAAGGCTATTGGGTTCGTTTCCGTAAAACACTCGTTATAGCAGGAAGTACCAATTTATTAAAATCCAACAGGTCAAGGTGGATGGAATCAAGTAGGTCGGAAGTCAGACAAGGGACAAGAACAGTGTCCTCATCAAGGTCAAATAAGTCAATAATGATGTCACACCTTTTCGAAAAAGTTTGGTGACAATCGGTAGATTTATTGCTGGGCAACGTTTCGCTTTTGACACAAAATCTTCGTCAGGCCAAGTGACTAGGTTCCGAGGTTGGTCAAAAGCGAAACGTTGCCCAGCAACAAATCTACCGATTGTCACCAAACTTTTTCGAAAACGATGACCACCCAATCGGTTCAAAGTATTTTTCACGTGATTGAACAAACCGCACACCTATTTGTACGAAATTTAAATAGGGAAGCGATTAAATAGCAGTTGGCGGCCGAACCAGTCTGATTCACACCGTCCGGTATAGAACCACAGAATGCAGCTTCCCACAGGAACCTGATCGAGCAATTTACGTCATTTGTGCTGCCAAAAGTAATACCACTGGGTATCAAGGGTGATGTTCACCAGGCTAAAATAAAACTTGGATTGTTGTGTGGTGGCGAGACACGACTTCTGTGAACGAATGATCGGGTTTGGACCACCAATGTCTCGGGAGTGTTGCTGGTATCGGATGACTTAAAGAAATTGGAAAAAGAGGCTATCAGAGGACAAGTTATTCACCAGTTACTTCAGGTCCCGGAAAACACCCGGCACCATCAGCTCGTCCACGAATGCCGAAACATCTACCGAGACGAGTGTTGTTCTCCGGGACTTCTTCGGAATGACGCGCATGACTTGGCAGAAAGGCGAGAGAGATTAAGAAGATTATGGGTAGTGTTGGTGCGGTTTGCATTCCAGGATGGGGTCTCCGTGACCCCTCCTCGTGCGCTTGGCTGGAGGCATCGTAGGAAATGATAGCCGACCAATGTTAGTGCTGTCAGTTTTCTTTCAGAGTGTCCGATTGAGCGCATCTCAGAATGCATCGGAAGGAATCTCGGAATACTCATGTCAGGCTAGCGCCAGGACCCTCCTTCATTAACTCACCTATTTTTTTCACTTGAGGGCTTTAAATATAGCTAAATAAGCGTTGTGGTTGTACTGCAGTGAAGCATCAGTATCGCCTCTGATGTTGCTGACTCTGTTGATCATCATAATGAGGATCGAACATTAAACTTCTAGTCTAACACAACTGATAAGTCGGTATTGCGGTAATCAGTTCCGTAAATACAGGCTGCATGGTACAGTCCGAGTACGCTCGCCGGGTATATGGGTTGACAAATCAGAAAAAGGAATGATACTCATCGAAAGGCAATAAGACCTCAAAAGACTAGCACGTACCGTAATTAGTTAAGTTGAACACATAACGAAACCCGGGACTGTAAATGCGACTGGAATACGGCCCTGGGGAGTACGGCACACCGCGCTCATCGACCAACGGTAATTCGTACCGCCGCCGCTCCAGATCTGGTGGCAAGAATCCGACACCTGAGCGACCCGCAGTACCCGGATAGTAGTAGGCCAGGCGCGATACATAGGTATCCTCAACAATTTCGTTACGCCGACGCAGTTCTTCGAAGGTGGGCGCCACCCGGCCGTCCGGTCCGGGCCTCCTGGCCCCTGGTCCATGCCACACGTCAGCTAATTCGGTTGCACATATGGAGTTGAACATGATCCAACAGAACGTCGGGACGACGAGGAAGACCAGAAACACCAGCCACACAACAACTGCCACATAGGTGATTGTCATGAACTGGTGGAGAGTAAGTGTAGCTGTTGAATGACTATAGATATCACTCAAGTACTTGCACATTATTCGAACAAATTTACACATACATACTTAACCTACGGTGTAATTCACTTGTCAACCGCCCAAACGTTACTCCATGTCGATTCCAGCAATAACGTTTATTTAAATACGATACCCCAAAAGTACTGACAATGGCAATGAAATGGCAAGAGAATCCGGACGAGAAGCTCGAATGCCTGAAAGGATGTTTTTGGTGCACTAAGCGAAACGTGATTCCAAAAACAAGGTGGTAATTTTAATTCGTTTGTGTGAGCCGTGTTGTGAAGCCACACAAAGCTGAAGTTTCGCACTGAACACGAGGACTCTAGAGTATAGTACACTGAAAACGATAGGAATTCTGTCAGTTCGGCTTCTTGGATTCCAATGGCAATCTTTGCTGGGCAACGTTTCGCTTTTGACACAAAATCTTCGTCAGGCCAAGTGACTAGGTTCCGAGGTTGGTCAAAAGCGAAACGTTGCCCAGCAACAAATCTACCGATTGTCACCAAACTTTTTCGAAAACGATGACCACCCAATCGGTTCAAAGTATTTTTCACGTGATTGAACAAACCGCACACCTATTTGTACGAAATTTAAATAGGGAAGCGATTAAATAGCAGTTGGCGGCCGAACCAGTCTGATTCACACCGTCCGGTATAGAACCACAGAATGCAGCTTCCCACAGGAACCTGATCGAGCAATTTACGTCATTTGTGCTGCCAAAAGTAATACCACTGGGTATCAAGGGTGATGTTCACCAGGCTAAAATAAAACTTGGATTGTTGTGTGGTGGCGAGACACGACTTCTGTGAACGAATGATCGGGTTTGGACCACCAATGTCTCTGTTGCTTTGCTGGTATCGGATGACTTAAAGAAATTGGAAAAAGAGGCTATCAGAGGACAAGTTATTCACCAGTTACTTCAGGTCCCACACCCGGCACGGCACCATCAGCTCGTCCACGAATGCCGAAACATCTACCGAGACGAGTGTTGTTCTCCGGGACTTCTTCGGAATGACGCGCATGACTTGGCAGAAAGGCGAGAGAGATTAAGAAGATTATGGGTAGTGTTGGTGCGGTTTGCATTCCAGGATGGGGTCTCCGTGACCCCTCCTCGTGCGCTTGGCTGGAGGCATCGTAGGAAATGATAGCCGACCAATGTTAGTGCTGTCAGTTTTCTTTCAGAGTGTCCGATTGAGCGCATCTCAGAATGCATCGGAAGGAATCTCGGAATACTCATGTCAGGCTAGCGCCAGGACCCTCCTTCATTAACTCACCTATTTTTTCACTTGAGGGCTTTAAATATAGCTAAATAAGCGTTGTGGTTGTACTGCAGTGAAGCATCAGTATCGCCTCTGATGTTGCTGACTCTGTTGATCATCATAATGAGGATCGAACATTAAACTTCTAGTCTAACACAACTGATAAGTCGGTATTGCGGTAATCAGTTCCGTAAATACAGGCTGCATGGTACAGTCCGAGTACGCTCGCCGGGTATATGGGTTGACAAATCAGAAAAAGGAATGATACTCATCGAAAGGCAATAAGACCTCAAAAGACTAGCACGTACCGTAATTAGTTAAGTTGAACACATAACGAAACCCGGGACTGTAAATGCGACTGGAATACGGCCCTGGGGAGTACGGCACACCGCGCTCATCGACCAACGGTAATTCGTACCGCCGCCGCTCCAGATCTGGTGGCAAGAATCCGACACCTGAGCGACCCGCAGTACCCGGATAGTAGTAGGCCAGGCGCGATACATAGGTATCCTCAACAATTTCGTTACGCCGACGCAGTTCTTCGAAGGTGGGCGCCACCCGGCCGTCCGGTCCGGGCCTCCTGGCCCCTGGTCCATGCCACACGTCAGCTAATTCGGTTGCACATATGGAGTTGAACATGATCCAACAGAACGTCGGGACGACGAGGAAGACCAGAAACACCAGCCACACAACAACTGCCACATAGGTGATTGTCATGAACTGGTGGAGAGTAAGTGTAGCTGTTGAATGACTATAGATATCACTCAAGTACTTGCACATTATTCGAACAAATTTACACATACATACTTAACCTACGGTGTAATTCACTTGTCAACCGCCCAAACGTTACTCCATGTCGATTCCAGCAATAACGTTTATTTAAATACGATACCCCAAAAGTACTGACAATGGCAATGAAATGGCAAGAGAATCCGGACGAGAAGCTCGAATGCCTGAAAGGATGTTTTTGGTGCACTAAGCGAAACGTGATTCCAAAAACAAGGTGGTAATTTTAATTCGTTTGTGTGAGCCGTGTTGTGAAGCCACACAAAGCTGAAGTTTCGCACTGAACACGAGGACTCTAGAGTATAGTACACTGAAAACGATAGGAATTCTGTCAGTTCGGCTTCTTGGATTCCAATGGCAATCTGTTGTTCACTGAACCCCAAGACATAATCACTTACGTGGACCCAACGGCAGCACTCTGACTTACGTGGACCCAACGGTCAACAGCACTCTGGCATTATACTGTGGCAATGACTTTGTATATCGTTCGTATTGAGGGCAACATATAAAGGGTTTGACCGTTGAAGTGCAACGCACTGTCGCAAGTGATGAAAACTTTCAGGAAAACTCGCAGTGTAAGTTGTTTAAAAGTACAGCATAAGGAGTACACTGAGACAAACACAGTTTCGGTATCTTTGGAAAAGTGACACTTCCCAGACCTTGAAAGTTCAGTTGAACGAAAGCTTATACGTCAGGAGTATATCCCGTCAGTCTAAGACAATTTGCAACATTCTCTGTTTCGTTACGAAATCGATGCGCACTGGATGATCCACAGATGAGGCTGCTTTTCATGCGTAAAACACAGTAAGTAAAAAAACATGGCTAGAGCAATAAAATAGATTGGGGCCAACAGAGGTATGACCAGATAACGGTAGGGAAATAGTGCCCATGGTGTTCTCAAAAAAGGTTAACGTACAATAAGTTACTTCCATGTACTCACTGAAAAAAAACTAGCAGCCAACTTAATGGATCGAAGTGACATCACCCAAGCACGAGTCCACTATGCCTTCCTGGGCTTCAAATCATTATTCTTATGACTGTCTCCTGTTTGAGGTAAGTCAGTTCATGGAGACATCATACAAGCAGTTTCCTAACATCGTCTAACTGTTTCGGCTAGACAGTTCAGGCCTCCGAGCATTTGTGTGTGATATGGGGGAAGAACTGCGGAAGAGAATCAGTCACATTGATTCTGGGTCTTTGAGTAACTACACACAATCGTCAATGGGTATCGCCTAGAAACTATGGTCTTCAGCCTCCCCAACTAACCACTGACAAGGGCGAGTAGCCATTTAGAATCACCAGATGAAAACAAGTACTTGGTGAGGACAGATGATAGCAAGCCGCTCCACTATAGAATGGTAGTCCAGTTAATCAGAAGCACAAACCATAATAGTGTTTGTTTTCAAAAGGGAAAGCCTGCTGTCACTTGCCCGATCAGCCACAACGTTGTGTCACGTAAGACCTAATGACTCAAACTGACAGTCACCCCTCAATCCGGAGGAAAAGTACACACGATTTTTATGTTCTAAGTCCACGCATGCATTAGGACTTGCTTGGTGGACACTGTATCCAACATTCTGTGTGCTTTTTCACAATGTGCAGGTTTCTTGCAATGCGAAACAAGTCTATTATACAGAGGATAAAGTTGTGGTTGCAAGAGTTATCAAACCATGGATACAGATGAGGTTTAGCGGTTTGGTGCTACGAAATATACACCGAAAAACCTCGACAACCAGCCAGCTCGTTGAAAAACGGTTCCAGCGTTTGGAGCCAGCAGACTTGATTTACTTGAAGTCCGAAAGGGCGCAAACGTAAATCAACAGCTTCGTGGTACAGAAGAAGCCGATGTCCTAATTGCTTTATTAGACAGATTCGAGTTAAATACGAAACTCCCTTCCTCTCCACTGACAAAAATCTGCAACTATTAACCTAGCTGAGTCATTGTCGTTCAGCTGTAACGCCTTTTCGGTGCCTAGCTGCCATACCATCCGAAGGAAGCACAAGGGGTGGAATACTGCCAGGTTACCCAAGCCCAGACAAGGGAAATCGAGAGGCAGAGGTCGGGTTCGAACTACGGACCTTCCAGTGAGTGAATTCGCCCTCCAACCACTTGAGCCACCTCGCCCCATCCTACCTAAGTAAATAGCGTCAAAGATTTTAGAGACTGATACTGGCTAGTGGACCTGTGGTGGCTAAAGCGAAGGTTTTGCCCTGTGGCAACCGAAAGTACACGGACAGGGGTCATCTAACGTGTTATTGCCAGTTCTACACAAGTTACGCCAATGGTAGAGAGGGTCGACTTCGCGGTCGAATGAACTGAAGGTGGTGAGTACGTCCGCAGTAATTGGGTGGCAAAACGGTGACTGAGTATTTGACAAAATCTATGCCCATTCTTCCAGTAAAATCGTATGGCTTAAGCCACGTGGCCATATAGAACGGGCTAGGTGATCCTAGTGAGCGCCAACAGGGAATTCGCAGGAACGGTGTTTCAAATACGACTATGTACGGAATAACCGAAACGGTCCGACGTGCCCAGAGGTAGCTTAAATTCATTCGAGTGCGTGCAAAAATGTGATGACGGAATAGGTACGGAATAGTCACCATATTCCTTATCCTTTTTATGTGCCTCAGAGGAACGTGGGTGGTCTGGAACAGAAGACGTAAAAGACCGCAGACAATCAAAATATTTAAATTCGGTCGCAAAAGACTTGAAATGTGGGCTCATTCTGTCCTGTAACAACATCAGCTCTTGGGCTGGTTCGAACTTTTAATTTCCAAAGCTGTTAAGACAGTACGTTGGCATGATACCATCAAGTGAACGGAAAAGTGAGCAGTACGTTTCGTGGGACATCATCCTTGGGCGATTTGCATCGGTTTACCTTGAGGAAGAGGATAGAAATACGGACAGACAATCCACATTCTAAAGCTTATCAGAGTGATTTATTAAGCAGAAAACACCGATCCACGAACCGCACACAAACCAGGAAGTCAATAGCAACTGGAGGAAATGCCGACAGAAAGACTGTGTAAACAAAACGATCGATTATGTAGATAAGACGCGCCGAGAAATCTAGCAAAAGCGAGCGAAAAAATTAAACGTTACCATAACGGCCGAGACACGCCCGCCCATAGTGAATCGATCTCCACGATAAATCCTGCCCCGTGTTGCATTAGTTACAAGTACGGAAAAAATGACCACAAGCAGTGCCAACCAGATAGCCAATGCTCCAAAAACGACTGCGGTAATACGCAAGTATTGTAATCTGAAAATAGATAAGTAGACATAGTTAGGGATTTAACCAAAATGGAAGAAACTATGACACCTAAAGCGGCAGTTAGTTCAACTGGTGATCTCACAGTGTCGACGTGGTCACACCTTTCGACTCCGGACAACGATCTGGATTTCTCAATAACTTAAAAACTATCAGGCTGTCGGTGGATGGAACCCATTACGGATGTGTCCACAAATTCACCCAACTCAAAGAAACCAAACACTATTCTGCACGGTACTCACTGAACAACAGTTTACAGAACTTTTTAAGTGATCGACAGTATCCCCTCGAAAAGAATTGACAACACCCCAAGTTGTAAGAACAAATTTGCAACGAAAATTCAGTCCAATAGTCCAGTGTCACGCTTGGACGATCGGTTTGAAATGTGGCATTCCTAACAAAAACTAAAGAGGAATCCGTTTTTTTTCAGGACCAGTCACAAAGAATCCTCGTAAACTAAGGTGTTGTAGTTTTGCTTTGACCGGCCATAGCTGAATTCGGGGACTTAAACAGTTCAACTAGCACAAAACTGACCACCAGGTGCATATATAGAAATACAGAAGGGTATGCTAATTCAGCAACTCTGAAACAGTTGACATGACGACCATGATATCACCTGACGAGAAAATGATGAAGATAACCGAGAAAAGACTCACGAATAGACCGGAAAGAAGTTATGTCGAAAATACACGTCAAGTTTTGACATGCCGTAGTGAAGCGAACCACACAGGACTCCACCGCCCACAAAGACTAGAATGAATCCAATCACGGAATTGTACGGTACACGACCAAGGCAGCTTCCTTTGCCCTCTGAAACACACAACAAAAGCGGTTTGAAGGGTCGCCCGAACACATAAGAATTATGAAGAAAAGGAGCGAACAGTACAAGATTACTGAAATCCGTGGAACTACATATAAAGAACAGTTTAACGGGTAAAATATGCTCGTATGATTATGTCGTTGGAGTACCAACACACTGCAGAAAATGAAAATACTAACAGCTGTGTATAAATACATTAGTGTGACTGTTTTATTCATACAAGGGGGCGGATAAGGAATGAGGTCGTTATATTGGCCTATCTGTTCAAGGGCTTAACATCATACTTTCCAAGGAGAACAAGAACGACTAGGGTCGCCCAGAAGCCATCGGAGATAAAGGGCTACAAAGGTGGGAAAGTTCATACGATTAACAAATTCTGGATCCAGTCTGCTTAACCTTTGAACGTAATTCTCCATAGACATTGTAGATGAAGTCATAGAGGATTCGGATGTGACGGTGGTACACAACTCACGTCTAGCTGATATGCAAGTGCTGAAAATGCGACGGCATGTCACACCTCCACTTCTGGGTTTGCGCCCACATGCTAATTCCTACAGACACATTGTTATAGTCTTCCAAAGGCAATGCTAGCTTTCGATACTCGCGAGTTCAACTCGTTATCAACCATCTGACTAGTGATTAGAGTGCTGCAGAGAAACCAGAAATCCGAATAAAAAGGGTATCCCGACACCGTTAGCCCATTTATCTGGAAAATCGTGGTGCTCCCTCCGGGGACAGGAGATAAAAGTTCTAAAAATACTTATGTTTCGGAAGGAATGGAAATCTGATATTCAGTGCTGCAACCCAGGTTCAGAGTGTGCCGATGGAGCACGTCGTCGGGAAGAACAGAGACAAAAGGATCTTCAAATAATGTAGCATTCCTTTGGTCAGAAAATCAACGCCATTACCATCTACAGCATAACGTTAGTGTTGAAGATTAATACTCCGCTGCCGTACAACCATGATTTATTCGGAAGTCTCGTTTTGATGGAGCGAATGAAAATGGATAAAGAAGCGTACCACAGTCACTCCTGGATGCCTACAGCACCAAACACTCATTCAAACACGGGATGGAAATTGACAACATAGACGCCACCGACGTCGATTAGCAGTCATGTTTCCAACCAGGAGCAGTGGGGATCACAGTCCCCATTATGGAAGGCGAGTCGCACCGACAGGACTCAAACTTTTCGTAATCTATTTCACGTCCCTCTGCCAGGTCAAATGTTGGCCACCAATCTGCTTCCACCACTCTGAATAGGACACGGAAAACAGTACTCCCTTTGGCAAACGATGGTTAAGCATGCCCTAACCAACGCAGCTTCTGATGCTAGACACATTCGTCGGCAGAAGTCCCCGCTGCACAACCGAACACTTGCTTTCGGCTTTGTCGACTCTAAACAACACGAGCTATGGTTCTGAGACAACGAACAGTGAACACTTGTCTCAGTTCAGCAGCTCAAACAGGCCAAGTCTCAGCTACACAACAAAACAGCCGTACCGTAGCCCGATACACACGTCCCTTGGGATTCAGAGACATACCGCTCAAATCAGCAGACGTAACCTAAAACTTGCAGATTTGCGCACTGACCTCATCTGTCATACCACAATCAAAATTAATACAACTACCACGATACCTAAAACGCTCCTTGGGCTATAAGTGGAGTGTTCAATGACTGTATGTCCGGGAGCACGACCTTACACTTTTAGAGTGCAAAGTGCATAGAAACGGATGGGATGACTGGTCAGTTCTTCCAAAAACACCTGCACCTTCTACTCCTGTTCGGAGATAAGAATGATGTCGTCTGCATATTCCAGATCGACAAGGCTTTCGTCGGAGGCTATTTGAACACCAGGGTTTTGAAGACCTGCATGGTTTGTCTTATCATTCGTCCATCACGAAATGAAATAGGAATGGAATGGATACTCCTAACAGACACTACTTTGTGTATGGAAGCTTTTGGAGAGTTTTTCGTATACTCTCACACCCTGTGGCTAGAAAGAGCTTTTAAGTGAATACGTGACCATCGGGATGACGGTGGATAACCAAGCGTTCAGAATTTCGGAAAGCTCCCGCACGTATTGCTCTTTGCTGACGACTGCAACTGGGCCGTAACGCAGCCTTGTTCGATTCCCGTATCAATGATGAAATCTACAGAAGTAATTCATCATCATCACCCTCGACAACAAAACACCAGCGTTCGAACACTGATGCATCGCTGCCATACAAACATGATTTATTTGAAAACCTAATTGTGAAATAAGAACAAAGATAGATTGAAAAGTGAATTAGTGCAAGCTTACCACAATCATTCCGAGGTACCCAGACCTCCGAACACTCACTCAGACGTAAGTTAACAAGTCCGAGAAGTAGCCTTTATTCCAGAATGATAAATTTACTTGGGCAGCCTACCTTCCATAATGCCCTGTGTTCACCAAACCAAAGCACCATTGTTAAGCCAGCGAATAAGAAATATGGCAGTTGGATATGTTCATGGAATTTCTCCGGAATCCACTATTTCCCTGGAATGACGTTCATCCGGTTCACCAGAACACAAGCTAAGGTTTTGTCTGCCTAACGTCTGCTTCCTTTCTTTAATTAGAACACAACTGTGTTAGGCCCTGTATATTTATGGGGCATCCTCGGTTTTCGATACTGACCGGGGAAGACGCATAGCTACCTTTTAATTCCGGACCTGGGACTAATATCGAGTTTTTACTCACGGTGTGTATTATTATTATTCTTGTGGCGAGATGGCTCAGCGGCCAGAGCACGAATTTACTGACGGAAGGCTCGTGGTTCGAATCCAACTTTCTCTGTCTAGACTTGAACAACCTGGCAGTATCCCAGCCCTCGTGCTTCCTTCGGATGTCATGGTAACTAGGCCCCCAAAGGGTGTTGCAGCTGAATGATCACCATATATTTTTTGTTATTACTCTTCATGATGAGTATGTCGTTTTAACGACTCGTTCCTTGACACTCGCTTCGCTTTTGTGCAAATGAAGACCGCGCGAACGAACATACAAAGCCGTAGTGAGTCGCATGCGTGCGTTTCAACGTACATATTCAATTATTCTTTGCTATTAGATTCATAAATCATCATCATCATAATCGACAGCATGACATCAGTGTTCAACACCGATGCTTCACTGCCGTACAACCATGATTTATTTGAAAGCCTTATTGTGAAGAAAAGAGTAAAGGTGGACGGGGAAGGTACTTAGTGCTAGCTTACCATAATCATTCCGAGGTGCCTACGCCTCCAGACATCCACTCAGGCAATCTGGATAGAAACCGACAACAAGAACGCCACTGACATCGGTTGGCAGCCATACCTTGTGGTGTCTCCAACCAGACACAGTGAGGATCACGCGGTTCCCATCCTGGAACCGAGTAGCACCGACAGCACCAAAGCGTTTCGTGATTTTCTTCATACTCCTCTGCCAGGTCAAGGGTTGGCCACCTCTCTGTTTACGCCACTCTGAGTTGGGCATGGAAAACAGCACTCTCTTCGGCAAACGATGGTTCGGCATACGTAACACATGTCCCAACCAACGCAGTTTCTGGTGCTGGACACATTCTTCAATGGAAGTGCCCTTTACACAACCGAAAACTAGCTTTCTAACTGCCGCGTTACGGATTCGCCGACACCAACTCACACGAGCTATGGTTCTGAGACAACGATTGTCGAACACCTGAAGACGCCTCAGTTGCGCTGGTCGAATAGGCCAACAACAAAACAGCCCGCACTGTAGCTTGATACACACGTCCCTTCAGATTCAAGGATAAATCATTCTGTCGCCATAGGTGTCTCAAGTAAGAAAACGCGGCCCGAGCCTTGCAGATTCGTGCATTCACCTCATCTGTCACGCTACAATCAGAACTAGTACAACTTCCAAGATACGTAAAACGCTCCACAACTTCCATTACCTCTCTCTGGATTGTAAGTGGCGTGTTCAGTGACTGCACGACTCCAGATCGACAAGATTTTCTTCACAGGCTATTTGAACACAAGGGTTTTGGAGGCCCTCCAGAGTTCGTCTCATTATTTCATCGATCACGAAGTCAAAAAAAGAATGGAGAGAGTGTGTATCACTGACGGATACCGCTTTGCGTACGGAAGCTTTTGGAGAGCTCTCCGTACACTCTCACACGTCCGGAAGTCTGTGAATACAAAGAACGTATTATGTTCACAAACTTCCGGGGCATTCCTTGGTAGGCAAGCGTCTCAAGAAGAACAGACCGATCAACCGAGTCGAATTCGCCTCGGAAATCCAGGAATATTAGAATTGTGGGTCACTTATACGCATGGCGTTGTTCTAGCACCTGACAAAGTGTGAAGATTTAGTCAACGCAACCCCTAACAGGCCGGAATCCCGCTTGCTGCTCTCGAGTCACTATCTCACGAGCCACCGTAAGGCGATGAAGCACAATTGACGCCAACAGTCTCGTTACGACCGGGGTCAAGCTGACCCCCTTGTGGTTACCACACACACTACGCGTCCGTTTTCTGAAAACGGGCATTATCACCTATTCTCCTCAGTTGTCTGGGACAGACACCGTTTCCCAAGTGCAAGCAAACATATCAGACAAGCGCTGACTGAGGACTTCAACCCGTATTTGAACAGTGGGGATGGAAGGTCATCCGGACCAGGAGCTCGGTGGCGCCTGAGAGAACATATGCAGTCGTAAACTTCCGAGGCTCTAGGTGGTTCCACGTCTACCGTCCAGGGCTCTACTTCATCTGTGGGCTCTAGGTGAGTACCGGCTGGTGGCCACAACAGTTGTTATTCGAAGTATTCAGCCCACCGGTCGAGGCGTTCTTCATTATTCAAGATGGTCCTTCCACTCTGATGCTTGATGGTTTCACCCACAGGTGGTTTCCGGGGACCGGTCGCAAAGATCAACTGAAATAATCTTCGGGCAATACCGGCTTCCTGCGCCCACCATACTCCACGGTCGGATCGCAGGCTCACTTTCACTTGACGT